CACTTGCGAGAAGGGCCGCGACTCCGACGGCCCCGAGCAGGGTGCAGGTAACGCGGGGGAGGAGCACTAGGTGGGAGAAGCCAGGAGGGCAGCGTGGGGCCGGGCTGGTGGCTGCTCTGCAGGGAAGGACCTCAGAGACCATGTTAGCGGAGGTAGAGCGGGGTCCCTGGCCAGCTTCGGGGAACTGTTGGGAGGGGGACCTGAAAGCCAAGCCCGCGAGGGGACAAGAGTTGGAGCGCAGGGAGGAGCCTGGCTAGTTATCTGTGGGGAGGAAAAGCACCCCTGTTATAGTGGTTTCCCCGGGTGGAAAGTACCCTGACTTCTATTTGGGGCGGGGGGGGGGGGGGGTTACTGGGATGGAGGGGGTTGGTCAGATCCGTAGGAGTAGGACCTAAGGGGTTCTGGAAAGGTCCCGGTGGAAGGCGCTGCTGGGGGGTGGAGGTGGCGGGTGCCCGTGACACAGGGGACCTCACGTGAAAGAGGGGACCTCCCACGAAAGAGGGGTGCAAGGAGAAGGCAGTGCGCGTGCAGGGACTCCTGCTACTGGAAGTGTGAGGTGGGAAGAAAGGACTTGTTGGTACTTGGCAAAGTGGGTTTCTTAGAGGTAAAAAAACCCCGGATGCCTCTGTTTTCTCACATAAACAACGAAAAGGCTCTTACTACTGCGATGTTGGATGGAAAAATACAAGAGGGGCAGGCATTTGGGGGGCGAGGAAGAGACCTCAGCAGTTGAATCACTGTAACTGAAGCCGGGTCGCCAGGTGCAGTCCTGGCCGGGCAGCCCTGCTGCCGGGTGTAGTACCTGGGCCCCTACTTGGAAGCTGGAGGTGCGTGCCTGGGCGGTGGGCACAGCTACTCTAACCGGAGGGACGGAGGGACGGAGGGACGTGTATCCATCGCCCCCCTCCCCACCGCCCCTCTTTCTAATGTGACAAAACTTCCTATCCGATAGAATGGGAACCCTGAGATTCTTTGTAAGGGGCCCTCATCCCCCCAAAATGTTTTTGAGGGACACAACCAAACTATAAGGACCTCATTTGTCTTTTGTATGTTTTTAACATTACAAAAGCCTCCTGCCACAGTGGTCTGGAGGAAACTGTAATTATTTTCTTTCCTCTTGGAGACAGTGGTAAAGTGTGTCCACTGCCTGTTGTTTAAAAAGCAAGGGAGTCTGACCAAGTTTCTGAAACTGGAAAAGAAAAAAAGAAAGAAAAGAAAAAGTGAAAACATTCTTGCTTCTCAGTTTCTGGTCATTGTACAACTGCTCCTCACCCCCACACACCCCCTCTCTCCCCCTTCACCCCCACTGCCCCTCTAGCCTGCTATTGTTTCCCTCTGTTCTCCTTGAGAATGGACTTAGGGGTCAGAGTTGAAATCTTTTCCTATTTCTCTGGCGCTTTTTGACCTTGAGTGCAGAGCAAGTGCGGGCTTCCTCCGAGCAGACTCCAAGGGAAACACCTCGGTCCCTTTCTTCTGCCTCTGGCTCACTTCCCTCCCAGCCTGCCTCAGAGTGAGCCCTTCCATCCTGCTTCTCTTAGAAAGTAATACTAAAAGGAAAGAGACTTGGCGAAGCCCCTCTCACTGTGGGCGCCCATCCCTCAGTCCTGCGTTTCTCCCCCATCACCCCCTTGCACCTCGAGGTCCACCGGGGAGAGACTGCAGTTTCTGACCTGACTCGGACAAACTGAACATCTTTCTCAGCAGGGTCAGCTTTGCAAAAGGCCTTCAAGCTTATAGAATCTTTTGGATTTTGACTGTTTTTAATAAAGTGCGTGGCACATGTCCTTCCTAAGCGTTTTACTATTTTTCTTTCACACTTCATACCTCTTACTCTCAGCCTGAAAGCCAGCTCTCCTGCTCCACACCCTCCAGCAGCAGGTTAGGGTCTTCAGAAGGGAACAGATGCAGAGACTATCCTGTCAGGCCTCCCTGGAGCCTGGAGCTGGAGGGGGGAGTTGTCGGAGGAGCCCGGGGACAATGGGGTGAGTGAGTTCATGGGAAGAATGCCCCTCTGGATTTTCGTCCTGGATATGGTACTCCTTTCCCCCAACTAGCCCCAGCTGCCTCCTCAGCATGTGCTCCCGACTGGTAAGAGGGGACAGACGCCATCGTGGGGGTAGAAGCCTAGTGGGCACATTGGGAAGAAGTGACAAGAGCAGGGTGCCTGAGGCATGAGTAGGGCTGGGGGTGATAAGGGCACTGCGGGGAGAAGCCTGGACCTGCAGGGTGTCAGGAGGAGAGAGGGGCACGTTTTGAGGCTTCTGTGCTCAAGAGGGTCTTGGGCTGGGGCAGGGAGTGGGCACTGCTTAGAGAGCACTGGGGTCTGACTTGGGTGGGGCCGGTGACTGAGCTTGGCCCAGAAGAGACCTGAACATTGAAGGCTGCTGCCTCCTACTCTCCCCATCCTTTCTCCTCCCGCATCTGAAGAGTGAACCTCCCCGTCTCCCCACCCCAGCCTGCATTCCTCTTTGAGCAGGTTGCTTTTGAGAATTTTAAACATACCCTCTCGGTTTGAGGCAGCAAACCCCAGCAGTTCCGGCTTCACTCTTAGCTCTTTTGTCTTTGTTCCCAGGGCTCAGGGGCTGTGTCGCTGGCTTCCTGGGAGTGTGAGGGATGCAAGGGGGTGGGGGAGGGGAGAGGCACTTCAGTAATGCTGAGCCTGCATCCCCTGGGGGTAATGGGCTGGGACTTGTTTTGTTTTTTTTTTGTTTTATAAAAAATATATTTTATCGATTTTTTTACAGAGAGGAAGGGAGAGGGATAGAGAGTTAGAAACATTGACAAGAGAGAAACATCGATCAGCTGCCTTCTGCACACCCCCCACTGGGGATGTGCCCACAACCAAGGTACATGCCCTTGACTGGAATCAAACCTAGGACCCTTCAGTCCGCAGCTCTATCTACTGAGCCAAACCGGTCAGGCGGGACTTGTTGATTCAAAGAAACCAGAAGTCAGATTGGGGTATTGGAGTGGGTGGTCTGGAAGAAAGATGAGAGAGAGCGACCCTGAGGTCTGTGTGAAGTCTGCACCTTAAAGGTGTGGGGGGGTGGTTGGTGGTGGACTGGGCAGAAGTGCCTGGAAACGTTGGAGAAGAGGGTTTGGGCCAGGCCAGGTCCTTTCAGAATTCAAGGCCTCCCTCAGCAGCTCCCTGCCTCCTTCCCGACCCTGTACAATGCTGGGGATTATGCCCAGGGGCAGAGCCGCCCAAGTGGCTACATATAAAGGTGCTATAGAACTGAGCAGCCATTCACAGTCCTGGTCTAGGCGAGCAGGCAGGCCTGGGGGGGGGGGGGCGAGGAGGGGCACCACACAGACTCTGCTTCTGCAGTTGCTGGGGGAGGAGAAAGGGGGCAGAGGCAAATACAGATTTACAGTGAGTGGTTCAGTGCAGTTTCAAAAAAAGGGACAAAAGCAACGGGACTTCTGGTTCAAAGCACTGCTTTGCATCTTGAGTTCAACGTGGTAAAATAAAATAGACTTAGGGAAGGAGTGAGACCCACTGTCACTGATTGCTAACACCACTATCTCCCCCTCCCGCCACCCCCCACCCCCCTTCTGGACAGGGCACGCAGAACTAGCTCTGCTAAGCTGCTCCCCCTGAGTCACTGCCCCATTGAGGGGAGATGGGGGAGTTGAGGGGGCTATTCCTGGATCCCTTTTCTTGGTTATGGGGATCAAGCAGGGGTTGCTCTGTGCTCTCTGGCCTTAGAGGTGGGGCTGGCTTGGAGGCTGTGGTTTGATAGGTCCTGAACCTGCTAGTCTTGGTCTGCCAATTGTGCTAGGCAGTGGTTCTCAACCTTCCTAATGCCGCGACCCTTTAATACAGTTCCTCATGTTGTGGTGACCCCCAACCATAAAATTATTTTCGTTGCTACTTCATCACTGTAATTTTACTACTGTTATGAATCGTAATGT